CTCAACCTTGATGTGAGATGGGAATCATAAATACTGTTTCAGGTCCTACAGACCACATGACCAGCATCATACTTCCCAGTGAGAGAGCCTTCAGTAACTGGAAGGGCCTGACTTCAAGCAACTCATGTCCCCATTCTACCTCAGCCTCTATCGAGCAGCTGGTGTCTAGAAATCTCGGCAGAATCGAGAGAATTAACCCTCACCATTGGCAGAAAATGTGTATCATATTTTATAGAGCACAATATGTACACCCCCCCCCTTAACCTATTGCTCTCACTGGTGTTAAAATCAATGGTCTGCCATTGTTCATTTTGCCGCATTCCTTTTAAAAATTGCTCTATTTCCATTTCTTATCACCGTGTGTGTATTTGTGTACATTTTGTTTGTGTGTGGGGTGTGTGTGCACACTTCCACAGTGTGGAAGTCAGGAGGCAACTTTGTGAAGTTGGTTCTCTCCGTCCATCTTTGTCTGGGTTCTGGGGATCGAACTCAGGTCTGTCAACATTGCATGGCAAGCGCTTTTACTCAGGAAGCCATACTGACAGCTCACATTTTTTTCTTTCTTAATGTAATGCTACTCTTTCTTACATCTGAAGACATCTCATATTTAATGAAGTATCCAAGTGCTAGCGGCTCAGCCAGAGGCCTGGAACTAGGAAGAACAATCTCAGAGACGTCTCCTCCCAGGATAGGGATAGGTCCCCGGCTGGGTTAGTTAGACTTCCCTTAGTTTAGTCATAGCCATGGAGGATGTTCAAAGTTTTTAATGATAATCAGAACAGAAGACGCACAAATGCACATGGCGTGTCTATCCTGGATCTCACTGCTGCTCTTCTGTTTGTCATTCTCATTAATGCTGGTTTCCAACCTTTCACTTACCTACCTTCAAGCTTTAACTGATGGATAGCTTACAGAACTGAGCCTGCCACTCCAATCCCAGGCAAATCCCGAGCTGGTCTAAACTATGTGTGGTTGTACCACTATTGGCTTTAGGAGTGGCCATGCGTATTACTTTTCCGTTGCTGTCTCAATATCCACTATAAACATAGCTTAAAATAGATGTTATTTTGTTATAGTTTTGTATTTCTCTTGTTAAGTCTGAGTCTCACTTGTCTAAAATCAGGGTTATATTCCTTTCTGGGGGCTCAAGAGAGATTTGGTGTTCTTGTTCTCTGGGTGTAGGCAGATGGTGATTTCTTGAAGCTATAGGACTACAGCCCCTGTTTCTTTGCTGGCTGTGAACTCAAGACCCTTCTATGTTCCTAGCAGCCTCTCTCCAATTATCCCACATAGCCCCTATGTCTCAGAATCAGTAGCGAATTGTTATAACGCTGCCATTGCTCTCTGCCAGCTGGGCCAATATGCTTTGATAGGGCATATGGTAGGATAGCCTTGCTATCTCATGGTTCGTACTTAAATTCAAAGTCCTGAAGGGAAACCATCACAGTTCATGGGATGCAGAGTGTGAACATCTTTGTGTGGACCATTCTGGCCAATGATGTGTGAAGGGAAGGCAGAGGAAAGCATCGTTCCCTGGTTACAAAGACATTCAGATTTGCCCCAGGCATATCTACTTTGCTTCAGAGGATGTGAGTTGTGACAGGTGTCAATCATGGGAATGAAAGCTGACATACTAACAACAGTGACCATCTCAGAATGAAGAGTTTGGCTAGCTGGTGACAGTGCCGAGCACTGGACCAATCCTGCCACCACTTCCACACTCTTGTGAGAAACTTAAATGGCCTTTGTCTACTAGTTAAATATTTTAGTCTTTGTAGCCGAATTTCTCCTGGCTGAGAAGTAAGTCCCTTAGGTATTGGTCTATTCCATTAATGCCTTGATTTACCGCATGGTCTTCTGTTGCCAACCCTACCTGACATTCTAGGTCTACTATAACACCAATACCTACATTATTTCAAAGTTTAGCTAAGATGCCTAGTTCTTACTTCCGGCCCCCCTTTTAGTAGTGAAGCAAGGCCCCTATATTTTCAGTTATAGCTGGGACCTAACCTTGGATGAGCAGATCTCCCATCACCCATCACACTGCCTGTCCATTCTACCCCCTGCTTGACTGAATTATGCCTGAGATTTCTGTCTCTCAGACACAAGTAATTGGATTGTTGGGTTCCTTTGTAGGGTTGTAGATTGGGTTAGTTTCCTCAGCGATGTCTCCTCCAGTCCCAGCTCTGCCCTTGTCAACCTTGCACTACCAGAGTTGCCTCATGCCCATTCAAAGTTCCTGATATATCTTAATATCTGCATACACTGAACTCCTAGACACTCTGACTAGTCTTAGTGCTCCTATGCCATTTCTGGTCCCTTAATCAGAAATGTCTTTAGCTGACCAGATGTGATGATTCACAGCTATCATCCTAGCACTCAGGAAGCTAAGGAAGGGTGATTGTGGCCAGTCTGAGGCCAGGCTAGGCTGCAGAGTGAGGCCAGGCTAGGCTGCAGAGTGAGGCCAGGCTAGGCTGCAGAGTGAGGCCAGGCTAGGCTGCAGAGTGAGGCCAGGCTAGGCTGCAGAGTGAGGCCAGGCTAGGCTGCAGAGTGAGGCCAGGCTAGGCTGCAGAGTGTGGCCAGGCTAGACTGCAGAGTGAGGCCAGGCTAGGCTGCAGAGTCTCTCAAAAAGAAAAAAAAAAAGCCCTTTCTGCAGCCTCAGGTCTTTACACTGAGTCTTCATTGAAGGCTTTCCCACAATTCTACTTTTTGGTTGAGACAGGATCTCATGTAGCTCAGGCTGGTCTTGATCCTACTATGTAGCAGAGGTTAGCCTTGAACTTCTGATTCACCTGCCTCTACCTCTGGATTACTGAGAATATCATACGATGAAGTGAGTGTCTGTGAAATCCATAAGTAAAGCTGATAATACAGGAAGTAAAAAGAATTAACAAAACATGGGAAAACAGAATTCATTGAAATACACTGGAAGGAGGCAGCGAATAAGTTTCCAGAGAGGGAGCATGGGCTGAGAGTTAATGGAAGGTTTTCCTTCCTTCCTTCCTTCCTTCCTTCCTTCCTTCCTTCCTTCCTTCCTTCCTTCCTTCCTTCCTTCCTTTCTTCCTTCCTTCCTTTCTCTCTCTCTCCCTCCTTCCTTCCTTTCTTTTTTATTTTTTGCAGTTGAGAAGTGTGTTGGTCATATCTTGTGGGCCGTCGGTGCAGGAGTGTCCACATCTGAAAAGACAGGTGGGCATCTCCTTCTTTTACTAAGAAGTAAATTTTACAGCTTGAGCTGTTTTTCTTGGAACTGGCAACACTGGTTTTTAGGAGTTAGGTTTCAGGTGTCTGCATAAGTAACATGGACCCCATGTGGTCACGGCCTGGTTGCTGAGCATGGGAATTTATCTTTCGCTTTAGGGATTTGTGCACAATGGGAAGATGCCACCATGCCTCCTTTTCAAATGAAGAAAACCAAGAGCTTACTATTCCTGGTGACAGGGCTAGTAAATGGCTGTGTGAGGCAGTTTGAGACAGCTCAGGCTAATCTCCCCTGTCTTCTTACCCTCTTTAGCCTTTTTCAGAAGACGGCCCCCGCACAAGACTTGAAACAATATTTTCTGCTGGGTGTTGGTGGCCCACGCCTTTAATCCTAGCACTCGGGTATGGGGAAACCCTGTCCCGAAAAACCAAAAAAAGAAAAGACATTTTCCTTCATGCTTACAAGTACCTATGGGCAAGGATATTTGCTATCTCATCTTGGAAGCAATATGCTTGTTCAAGTGGGGAGACAGAAGTCTTGGTTCGGTTCACATATCACTTATTTGTGTCTGCGAGAGTCAATCTGAATGTATGTACATGTGTGTGGGGTTGCCCATGCCTGTGTCCCAGGACTTAAGAAGAGAGTGGGGATCCTTAGGATCCGGAGTTAATCTGTTTTCAGTTCATCTGGCCTGGCTTGTAATGCAGGTGCTGGGATCCAAACTCTGGTCTTTATGATTGGGTAGCAAGTGCTCTTGACAGCTGAGCTATCTCCGCAGGCTTACGACAGCTGCTTAAAATTATTGAAAATGTTAAATCTTATTGATCTGTGTGTTTGTGTGTGTGTGTGTGTGTGTGTGTGTGTGCGCGCGCAAGCGCGCGCACGGGCGCCACAGCACAGCTGAGATGATCAGAGGACATTCTATCTTTCTACTACCTAGGTCTAGGAGATCCAATTGAGGTCATTGGCACTGGTGACAAGTGCCTTTACCCACAGGGCCGTTTCACTAACCATAGCTGTCTTAAATCTCATTTACCCCATTGTAATTTTTTATGTGATTCAATCTTTTAATAACTATGTTTAACAATCTGTTTGAAAAATTCCTGAAAATGTAGCAAGATTGGCAGTCTGGCTTGGGTCAGCTTCAGCGCTCCACTAGTAGAGTCTAATATAATGTTTTGCTCTGTAATAGGCATGGGATGGTGAGGTCGCCGGTATTATATGTGGTTATCTTCTCAAGAGCTTTGCCCTAGCAAGCATTCCATGCTTGTGCTGTTTCTGCTGTCCCAGGACCGCTGGGTTCTATCCTTCCTCCTTTACAAAAGCCCTAACAAATAAAACGCACTTGAGGGTGGAGAGCGAACAAAAGAGCTAATGCTCCGATTTTGAGCTGTGAATACTGACCTCTGCTTAGGGTCAGGGTGGGGCTCTCTGAGTGCTTCCAATTCGGAACTGAGCTCAGCTGCAATTGGGCTAGAGCTAGTGTCTCCTCTCCTCCCAGCTCCCAGCCACGCCTACAAGATCACTGAAACACCAGAATACTATTCTATTACATTCTAGAAAGGACAGCCTCCCAGGAACTGGGATCCTAGAAAGAAGTTAGCAGTGATTTGTAAAGCACAAAGCCCTGCACTTTAGCTATCTTAAACTTTTGCTATGGATGCTGTGCTGACCTCGATGGAAACTGGAGTGGGCCGGCACAGCTTTGGGAGCAAGAAGGACAGCTGGTGAATCAGCTGTGTTGCATTAGAGTCTATTCTACCGTTGGCTCAGAGACGGTACCATATATGGGCTGAGGCTCAGGACCAGCAGTCGTGCTGATTTGCCCCCAGGGATCCTCTAAAAGTGCATTTGGGGATTAGGTCATTGTTCCCAGCCAAAGGGAGACCCCAGAAAAGTTGGTGAGTATGAAGAAACTGAGATGATTTATAGTCTGGCCGAGATAAGGAGGAGGGCACAGCCGAAGTGCAGCCAGGCTGCGCTTGCAGGAGAAGGGCTGAGCCTGAGAAAGCCGTGGGAGTGATTCTTTGTAGTGGCTTCAAAGGGGAACCGCAGACCCCTTTGTGGACTCGCCCTCCAGCCACTGACCGCCAGGGGAAGCTCAGATCAGTGCTGGAGGGGCCAACTGGGCTAACTCTAAAGTGCTAGCTGGTTACGAATGATGGTGGCTATGACGCTGCTGAAGACGAAGGAGCCCGGCTACCAGCTGGGGATGGTCCAGGCTCTGGATTATTTTGAGGGCGAGGCAGGTTCATTCACACGAAACACAGCTACTTATCTGCCAGTCCCTTCCTATCAGCTCAGGCAGGACCAGCCTAGTGTGACACAGCTAGAACTGTAGGAATCTGAGGAAAGAGGTGGGGTGGGGGTGGCCGGGTGATGGAGGAGCGATTTTGGAAAATTGCTCTTAACAGATCCATTACATTATAAATGAAGCAACTCTCTTTCTCTCGCTGTAACTTAGTTACTTTATCTCCCTCCTGTCCTCCCCCACTGCCCGCCCCCCCCCAGCTCTTCTCTTTCTCCACGCACTTCTTAATTGTGTCCCACAGTCTGGAAGTATAGAGCACTCTACTCCACTGTGAGGATAAATGGCTTGCTATGTGAAACACAGGCAAATCTCACAAACACAATGTGGAGCAAAGAATCCAGACACAAAAGAGTACTGTGAAATCCCATTTATGCCAGGCTCAAAACCAGGCAAAACCAATCTGCGATGTCAGAAGTCAGGATAGTGGCTCCTTTGTTGACCAATGGTTGGGGACTCCAGGGGTGCTGCTAATGTCCTCGTTCTTTGTCCTGACACTGCTTCCGTCGCTGTGGACATGCTGAATATCCACTGATGATCCGTGCCGTTGCTGCGTGTGCTGTGTTTTAGTCAACTGCGCACATGATGGCAGGAAAGAGGGAAGGCAAGCAGGTAGGCAACCAGGAGGCAATCTTGTGAAACTGGTGTTTCCAGGAAAAGTGAGTGCCAGAGTGACAACCGAAAATGCGGTCTCAAGGATGGCGAGGCACGGTGATGCTTGACGATCCCCAAAGCAAGTCAGCCAGTCTAGCCTTAATTGGTGAGATCCGGGTTAATGAGAGATCCTGTCTCCAGGAATAAGCTAGAGAACAATAGTGAACCCACATGCACATGTGTGTCTATCCACATGAACATGTGCAAACACCACACACTATATATACACATATATATGTATACATATACATGCACACACACATACAACAATGGGCTGCCATAAATCATGACAAACTAGATAACTATGGACTGCAGAAATGTTTGTCTCACAGTTGTGGACACAAAGTGTGTCTACAAGAATCTCCCTGGTTCGGTGAGGCTGAGACCGTCTCTTCATTTCTTTAGCCGGAGGTGCTCCTGCCTTTGTAGTGTATCACTCCAGAGCATGGCTGTGCTTGAGTCCCCACAGAGACGTCTCTTAGGGCATGTCTGTGTCCAAATTTGTCCTTTTAAAAAGGACAGCAGTGGGATCTGTGAGAGCCCACTCCAGTGACTCCATTTTAACTTGGTTAAACACTTCCAAACAAGATCACATTTTGTGGTACTGGGGGTTAAGAATCCACCACATTTTTCTCTTAACCACAGAACTCAGAAATGCTAGCTGCTGGGACACAGGCTCAGAGCCATCTAGAGCAGTCCCCCGACTCCATGCCTTGTTTGGTTAAGGATCCCAGCTGAAGACCAAACACCAAGAGGCTGGGTTCGTAGTCACAATCTGTCATGTGTACACAGTGTTCCCTGCTCCCCAGGCACCATTGGTATCCCTGCATTACTTGAGGCTTCGTGGTAATAGGAGTAAGAAGGCAGCTCTGGGCCAGACTGCCTGCCTTGGACTACGTCTGTTACTAGCTAGTTGACCCTCAACTTCTGTGTCTCAGTTTCCTCATATGTAAAACCAGGATGTAGGAAGAAGTGAATGGAGGAATACAAGAAGAACTTACAACAGTGCCTGTAAGAGGAGCTCAGATCCTCTGGAACTGGCGTTATAGATGCTCGATAATCACCATGTATGTGCAGAGAACCAGTCCAGGGTTCCCTGGAAGACCAACCTGAGCTTTTAACTGCTGCCCACCTCTTCTTCCCCATCTGTTTATTTATAAACATTTACTTTGTCATTTTGTGTGCATGTGTGTGTGTGTGTGTGTGTGCAAGCATACACATGTGGGCAAATGTGCATGTAGTCGTCCATGGAGGCCAGCAGAGAGTATGTGATCACCTTATCTGGAAGTGCAGACATGTCACTGAGAGTCCCTCGACATACTTTGGTGTCCTGGAAGAATAGTAAGCACTCTAGACCACTGAACTATCTCTATAGCCCTTGTTATCCCATTTTAGAGTGGGAAATACTGACTCCACAAAGTTGTCCTCTGACCTCCATATACAGGCTATGGTGTCTGTGCCCACATTCATGCATCCTATAAACACACACAATTAATTAAAACAATACGGAAGGCAAGGTGGGTCACTCTGCTAGTAACAGGCAGCCAGAACCTGAATGAAATCTGTGTGACTCCAGAGCCTGAGGTTTCAACCATTTACATTCAGTGAAGTCAACAACAACAACAAAAAGACTATCCTGATGAATGCTACTTTATAAACAGCTGCGAGCTACCAGGACAAATGGGGTGGTATTTCTGAGCTCCTCAAGGTCAGGAGTCCTTGCTATCATTCCGTACTTCTTCTCCCTCTGCATCAGGCACTAGACCCCCACAGGTGACCCATATGCTCCCACAGAAGGATCTGCAAGTCGATTTCCAGAGAGCTTAAGCAGCCAGGCTCAGGGGAGGCAGATGCCAGGTGAGCACTTGGTAGCAAGGCCAGCACTGGGGCCAGCAGGCTTGCCCGATAGTGGTGAAGAGAGAGAAGCAGTAGATGCCAGAACGCAGAGGGACCGCAGTGTCTGGTCACACAGCTTGTGTTGGCTGTCGATTTTCAGAAAGAAAACAAACTCAAGGCAAGGAGGCTGGCACTTCCCACAGGGGCAGCCAGTCCCAGCAGGGTGCTGCTCCTGCAAGGGCTGCAGTAGCTGCCTGCTTGAAGATCACAGCTTAGGTCTGAGGGACAGGGCTCTTTGGCAGGCATTGTCTGGGCCATTCTGACTCTGACAAGCTCTCAGGATCACACATGGTTGTGGCTGGCAGCCCAGACAGACACGATTGTTTTGGCTTCTGTTGTTTCTATTTTTCCTCTGTCACCAGGCATGCACTCAAGGTCCTGGATCTCAGCTCATCTGATTGGAGGTGGTGGCCAACCCAAGTACCTGCTGGTGCCCCCTGGTGGAAGAGCAAAGGATACAAGCACCATCTGGGTCAGGAAGGAAAAGATATGGTCAGGAAGGGAACAGGTTGCTCTGTGGATCTTCCCAATGACTTTAAAGAGCTGTGCTGTGACTCTCCCTGCTGTCCCCATAGGTACATGATTTACTGTGACTGAAGGGGCAGCGAACACAACAGCTCTGACTGTCGATTGGACTTTGTTGAGGGAGGCAAAGAGTTGTTTCTTCACCTTGGCTTCCCTTTGGAGGCCCCACAACTATCATGGGATCTAGAAGGTCATTCGTTCAGGGATTTCCCAAAATTTGGGCTGACTTGAGCAGGAGGCATTTACTCCCACAGAGTTGGTATTTTTATTGCTAGGTCAACATCAAGGAGGTGTGAAAGTTTTGCTAAATCTTGGCCACCTTAGGGAGGGCAGGGGGGCAGGAAGGGGCTCGGAGTGCCTGGCTTCTCACACTGAGCTGCATTCTAAGCATCTGGAGTTGCACACAATGCAGATTCATAATGAGTAAGCCTGGGTGGGACCTGAGGCCTTCCCTACTCCCTTGTGCTGCAAGAGGACCACACTGGAACTTAAATCCTCCTGTCCTCCCAGCACCCCATCCTTGGAGCTTCCTGATGCACACATAGCAGAACAGAAGCTGAGAGACTGCATTTCCTGGAGATGGCTTACATGATCTCAGACAACTGGGAAGGGTGTCCCATGAGGAACGTGTACGTCTGGGGCAGTGGGAAGATTCAACTGGGAAAGGGGCTTGTTGTTAGTCAAGCCTTACCATCTAAATTTAATCTCTCTAATCCACAGGGTGGAAGGAGGTAACTGACTCCTGAAAGTCACACACACACAGGAACACACACACACACACACACACACACACACACGAACACATACACAGGAACACACACACACACACACACACACACGAACACATACACAGGAACACACACACACACACACACACAAACACATACACAGGAACACACACACACAAATATGTAAACACATTTTAAAATAGCAACAATAAGGAACCCAAAGAATGTTTACTACTATCACCCCCCCACTTGGTCAATTTAATCAAATAAGCACAGATGATAATATTTCAACTACTTTATCTGCTTATTTAGCTTCAAAATACATTCTTTTTTTTTTTTGGTTTTTTCGAGACAGGGTTTCTCTGTGGCTTTGGAGTCAAAATACATTCTTAAAAATAGTTTTGACAGACAGAGGCTGAAAACTGGACTAATATGTCTGTGAGGTTTTTTTTTATTTCTTAAAATTTCTGCAAATTAATCTACACTACTTTTTATTTTTCTTAAAGTGTACACTTGAAACATTCTGTGCTGCTGAAGTTCACAGGCCTCTGTTTTCCCTGGTGCTAGCTGATCCAGATGGAATCTATACGTTGGTGGCGCACGCCTTTAATCCCAGTACTGGGGAGGCAGAGGCAGGCGGATCTTTGTGAGTTCGAGGCCAGCCTGGTCTACAAGAGCTATTTCCAGGACAGCCTCCAAAAGCCACAGAGAAACCCTGTCTCAAAAAAACAAAAACAAAGCAAAAAAAGGAATCTATAATATCTAAGGGTTGAAACTGTAAACTTGGCACCCTCTGCTGGTAACTGCACCTTTGGGGGTCAAGGAAGACCAAGCCTCTGGGGCTGAGAAGAAGATTGCAAGGCAGTATTGATGAGTCTCTGTTTAGCACTGAAGGGAGGACAGAGAAGGTCAATAATGGGTATCTAATCTCTGCCTCTTTGGGTCACAACGACTACTGGATGACCTAAGGTCTGATTTATTTTAGTTTCTTTGTCTGGAAGGGTAACCAATTTGCATGAGTGGTTAAATTACCTGACATCTTGATGCATGTTTACAGATGAGTAGATGATCCAACTTAATGATCCATGGTCTTGTGCACTTTATAGATAGGAGAGGGAGGATGGATAATGGTGATCATGGAAACGAGAAGTTCATAACTCACTTTCCCATTCCATGAGCTTTACTTTAAATAAGGCATCATTAATCTTTGAAAGTGCTTGGGTAGCACATCTTTGGGTAAACATGCTCCTCTTTTATCAGATTTTGTAATTTTTTTGTTTGGTTTGTTTTTTTGACTTTTCAAAACAGTGTTTCTTTGTGTAGTTTTGGCTGTCCTGGAACTCTCTCTGTAGACCATACTGGCCTCAAACTCACAGAGATCTGCCTGTGTCTGCCTCCCAAGTGCTGGGAATAAAGATGTGTGCCACCACTGCCCGACTAGATTTTATAATTTTATATACAGTAAGTAATCAATAAATGTTTAACCCAGGCTGGTCTCAAACTTTCAATCGTCCTGCTTTAACATCTGAGATTACAGATGTATGTCACCATCATGGCTTCAATGTTCAGAGAAGTTTTTTAACATGCTTTTTGACTATTGGTTTTTGTTTTTACCTCTAATGATAATCTGAGCATCTAGTACAGAGCAATGTTAGTACATTGCCATTCCACAGGTAGCAGGAAGGTTTTCAAGAAGTTTGACTAAATAGTCATTCGCAGTTACTTGCTAACTGTTATAAAGAATACCAAAGCAGTAAGATTTGGGTTATTAAAACAGTAGAAGTGTACAAGAAATGGAAAACACACAACTCTGAAAGTAGCAAAATTGTTTTATTGAAGTGTCTAAGATGGCTATACAGATTCAAGCACTTGATTTCTTTCTTTCCTTTTTAGATTTATTTATTTATTATGAATACAACATCCTGCCTCCATGGATGTCTGCACACCAGAAGAGGGCACCAGATCTCATTATGGATGGTTGTAAGCCACCATGTGGTTGCTGGGAATTGAACTCAGGTTCTCTGGAAGAGCGGTCAGTGCTTTTAACCTCTGAGTCATCTCTCCAGCCCCAAGCAATTGGTTTCTAATATTTGAAGAAACTAAATTCAAGAAGAGTACCTTCCATGGATCCCTTCACCCATTGGGGGGGAATGAAGCCTGACCTTGAGTCCGTCCTTGGCCAAGGTGACTGTTGAGTCCTTTCAGTCGCACTCTGTCCTGAGTCTTTCACACTATGGGATACAAAAGTACATAGAAGAGTCGTTTGATCCTTGTATCTCCTGTCCTCGGTCTGCTAGGTTCTCTAGTCTGTCCCTTTAGGTGTCCAGCATTTTCATTGTTTACCTTAAAAAGGAGATATAAATAACTGTTAACAGCTTAGTGTGCTAGGCCCTGACCCAGGCTGAAGCGTGACAGACATTTGTCTCCTAAGGCTCTACTACAGAGCTAGGGTGCTCTGACTCTGACTACATCAATAGTACCCCCTTAGTTCAGGCAGGACCCAGTCTTCCCAGCTTTACCTTGTCCCTGTACCTCTCCTCCTCTTACCATATCATGTAAAGTTATCAACCTTTGTCTTTATTAAAAAATTATGAAGCAAAGTTGGATTTTGTTAAGAATAGGTTTTTGTTTGGTTGATTGATTGACTGACTGACTGATTGATTGATTGACTGATTGATTCACCAAGCTGCCCTGATACTTGCTACTTACATAGCCCATGCTGGTCTTAGACATTCCGCTATACTCAGTCCCAGCCTTTGAGAATAGAGAGATTACAGGCATGTGCTACTTTGCTCGCCTAAGACTAGCTTGCTAGGTTCCTTGAGAAAAGATCTCATGCAGCCTTGAACCTAGCAGGTAGTTGTAGGTGGTGACCTTTAACTTTTTTCTTCCTGTCTCCATTTCCCAAGTGCTGGGATCATATTCATGTGTCACTGTGCCCAACAAAAGATGGTTTCAATGTAAATTTGTAAAAGATTTATTTTGTTATTCATTTGTGTATATACGTGTGTGTGTGTGTGTGTGTGTGTGTGTGTGTGTGTGTGTATTGGATGCATGAGGATGCATGTGCGTGTTACTGCACTTGCCCATGTGAACATGTGTAGAGTCCAGAGGTTGACATCCAGATATCTTTCTTCAGTTGCTCTCCATCTTATTCCCTTGAGAAAGTCTCTCACTGAACCTAGAGCTTACTGCTTTGGCTAGACAGGCTGCCCAGTCACCTCCAGGATCCTCCTGTCTCTGTCCCCTCACACTAGGGTTACAACTGTGACCTGCCACACCAGTCTTTTGCTTCTGGGGAATCCAAATTCAGGCCCCGGTTTGTGCAGCCAGCACTTTACCCCCTGAGCCATCGCCTTAGGCTCCTTTGTTTTCCTAATGCCAGCCTTTTTGACTGGAGTGACAAGGATCTCCATGTATTTATTCAAATGTTCTTGATGACCAAGGGTGTTGAACATTATTTCATATGCTTATTGGCCATTTGTACTTCATCTCTGAAGAATGATCTGGTGGGAGGGAGAACTGTGGTTGGAATGCAAAATGAAATTTAAAAAAAACTTAAAAACAAAAGGATGATCTGTTGGCCTATTGACTTCAACAAGTCATTTATTGACTATAGTGGTTTCCTTTTTTCTGTCTTTGGAGAAGCTTTCCTTCTTTCCTTTTTCTTTTTAGTTCTTCGTATATCCCACGTGATAATCCTGACCAGATGTTTTGTTTTGTTTTTTTTATTCTATGAGCTGTCTCCTCACTCTCAGGATTCTTTCTATATACGGTGTAATCTCCTTTGTCAATCCTTTGCTTTTATTTCCTGATTTGCTGCAGCCCTTATCAGAAGGACCTTGCCTGGCCTGTACCTCTAAGTGCTCTCTGACCCATTTTGGATTGATTTTTTTTGTGCAGCATGAGTGACAGAGGTCTGGTTTCATTCTTCTGCGTGTGGACAACCAGCGGCACTTGTGGAAGCGGTTGTCTTTCTTACAAGTATGTGTTGGGCATCTTTGTCAAAGATGAGGTACCCATAGCGCATAGGTTTTTTTGGGGGGGTCCTTTAATCTATTCCACTGATGGATGTGTCTGTTTTTCTACCAGCAATGTACTATCTTTGTCACTAAAACTCTGCAGCATAACTTGAAACAATGAACTGTTCTTTTCTTGCCAAGGATTGCTTTGGCTACCTGGTGTCATTTGTGATTTCATATGGATTTTAAGAGCTCTTTTCTGTTTCTACAGTGAAAAGCATTGTAATTGTGTGTGTGTGTGTGTGTGTGTGTGTGTGTGTGTGCCTGTGAACACACGCAGAAAACAGAAGAAGGCATCGAGTATCTAGCTTGATCATTATTTTCTGCCTCATTCCCTGGAGACACAGTCTCACTGGAATTAGGCTGATAGCTAACTGATAGCTCCTGCCTTCATCCTTCACAGAGCTGGGTTGCAGGCACATGCAGCTGATAGCTGTCCAACCCCAGTGATCCTCCTGCCTCCGTCCTCCACAGCGCTGGGGTTACAGGCACATGCAGCCATGCCCAGCTTTTCACACAGGTTCTGGTCATTTGAACTCACGTAAAGCAAGCATTCTTACCTGCTAATTTCTTTTGATATCTATTTTTATTAGTTATAGGTTTTGGACATTTGTGTTTGTGACTATGTGTGGGTATTTGAACATGAATGCAGGGGCTGATGGGAGTCAGAGGCATCTGATCCCCCACAACTGGAGTCAGAGGCAGTTATGAGCCACCAGACATGGGTGCTAGGAATTGAACTGAGCACTCTGTAAGAGAGATACAGTCTTAACTGCTGAGCCATCTCTGTGGATCTCTAATGTAACGTTGTATGAATACTTTGAGAATCTTTTACACACATATAATATGATCATAAGCTCCTCCTATTCCTCTGCAAGCACCACCCAGACCCAGACCCACCCCAACTTCATGTCTTCTTTCTAAGACATATACATTTTTGATTATCTGAGAATGCCATGCAGTATATTTTG